CATCACCCAAAGATGCTTGACTTGGCTAGACTGGTGACCATCACCCAAAGATGCTTGACTTGGCTAGACTGGTGACCATCACCCAAAGATGCTTGACTTGGCTAGACTGGTGACCACACCCAAAGATGCTTGACTTTGGTACAATGTAATTCTTCACCTGTACTAACCACCTCTATGACTGCATGTTTTGATACTTTTGGTAAATCATATGTACAGAAAACTAAAAGCAAATAAGTTAATAACTTTATTTTACATCCTCCACATGTGAAATTTGACAAGACATAGCAAATTACAGCAAGTGAGTACAAACTTCATAAGTAGAAGAGATCAATGTTTTCTATATTTCTTTATTTACTGTTCTATGCTTTAAGAAAAAGAACGGAAATTTAAGAACATATTTGTAAATAGTAATTATATATATGAAATGTATAATAACTGAAATGTGACAGTATTTTACAAAATACTGGTCCACTAGAAGAAAGCCAAGACAGGTCACTTCGTAAAGACCAGTTTATACTACTGGATAGGGTAACAGAAGTGCACACACACACTGCATCATTGCAACTTCTGTAATGTTAATCGACAGAACTGAAAGATCGATAAAATAGTAAATATATAATATTACGAGATGTGAGCTATTTAGACAAAACATTTGTGGTTTCTTGTTATAATTTGTAGTCATTCTAGAATGAAGAAGGAGTAATTTATATCTATTATTTCCTAATTTTTTATGGTGGTTAAGAGGATGGTCAAATTGACCAAACACATATAGAGATACAATAGTGAAAATAACAGATAAAATATAAAGTTTGATAATTATCTGGAAATTATAGAAATTTTTGCAGGTGAAATTTCACAATTTTCTGACGCATAAAAGTATTCTTAATCGTGATATCAAAATCATTTTGCATGTTGGACAGTCAACATTTGAAAAGAAAAAAATGCACAAGCAAATCATTATTTAAAAATCTTAAAACTTAATAAAAAAATTGATATTTTGTGTATGAAAGCCTTTTAATGTTTAATGACAATCTGCAAAATTTGTGAAGATACGCATACAGTATGAAAACTATAACAAGCACAAAAGGTTACGAGGTCGTTCCCTGGTGATGTTTGTGAGAGAGTTAAGACAGAGATTGCTTGTTAAATTTATTAATGCATTTTTCAAATAAAACTTTATCTTCCATTAGTTAAAGAATGGATCACATGTTTTAACCAAATACAACTACAAATGAACCATTACGTACCATCAATGGCAACTACCACTGCTGTTTGCCCTTTGTTTTCATGTTCCTTCATAATTGAGTCTATTTCTTCATTTACGCTCAAACCATTCCTGTGCATCCACTCTCTGTTTCCAATTAGCACGGAGTAGCTCTCACTTTTTTGTCCTTTACTGTTGTAGGCTGGCTCTAAAGAAAATATAAATCAGCTTTTATTAGCAATGTATTACCAACAATCAAATCAGTCTCATTTTCTAGTAAATGTCTGTCAAAAACGAATAACTGATGACCAACTCTAGAATTATTTGAAATTAACCAACAAACAAGTTACTTTGAAATGGAGATCTAGAATATAAAAATACTCTTAATTATAATCTTCATGAATAATAGAATGAAAAGTAGAAAGAAAGGAAATACACCCCAGAAATTTATGAAAATTAATTTCATATTAATAAAAATCAGGACAAGTGAGTTTAAGTACGTAAAATAAAGGAAATTTTATAATGAGACATTAAAAGAACAAACACAAAACTGCACTGTCACACCTTTCACAGTATTTAATATTTTCACAATCAGCAAGTGGAAGATGATACTTGAGAATAAAACAAACGATAACTACCAGTCAAACCATAACTGTAAAACTGATGTTGGAAAAATATCACCATCTGAACATATTTTTCAATACATTATCATAATTGTTTCTAATATTGTTATATTTCAAATTGCTGTATGCTGAAACAAACGATTTTCATGCGCTGCGAGGTATACTTATGCTTGAATACTACTGAAATAGTTATAAAAAATATTTATTACAAACCTTTAATTGAAATTTGCTTTCAATGCAAATACATTAAGTGCAGTCTTTGTATTGCTTATCAGAAATTGAAAACAAAAGTAAAAAAAAATTAAAATGTTGCTTAAAGAGTACACATGATTAATAATAGTACAAACAGAGTTTTATTTTGAATGTGTGCTATCTACATATTACAGATCAACAGTTTCCCTTGGGCAAGTGATGCATATTTTCACAAACATTCATTACTTTCTGTCATTAGTTCCAAATTTATACCACTATCATGTCTGACACACTTTACATTCTGGAAATCTTGTGCAGACTGATCCTACTTTATTATCTATTCATATGAATAAATATGGCATTAAAATTTAGTTAATAAATTAAATTTTAATAAAAGTTTAATTTCTTAATTTCAAAATTCTCAGTCTTCACTTGTCTGTGTCTAACGTGACATTTGTTTGTTCTCACTTGCCTATTTTCTATTTTTCTTCACTCCCTATATGATATCTTAAGTTTAACTTCTAATTATAGGCATATATACTAAGGCATAGTATAATTTTTATAATCTCCTATATTTTTCATTAGAGATACACGGCAGAAAATAAAACCTACTTGCCACACTGTCCTATTACATCCTCTCTTTAATCTCCTATCCTTTTCATTAGAGATACACGGCAGAAAATAAAACCTACTTGCCACACTGTCCTATTACATCCTCTCTTTAATCTCCTATCTTTTTCATTAGAGATACACGGCAGAAAATAAAACCTACTTGCCACACTGTCCTATTACATCCTCTCTTTAATCTCCTATCTTTTTCATTAGAGATACACGGCAGAAAATAAAACCTACTTGCCACACTGTCCTATTACATCCTCTCTTT